GAGTCATTACTTCTTTGAAAAACTCCCAATGAGTTCTTAACATAGCTTATCGCCTCTTTCAGCACTACCTAGAAGATCTGAAAGAATTCGTCATGTACCAGAGTATTTGGAAGATTATAGTGTGGGAGAATGATGTGATATTAACCTCCTCGGTATTGCTTTGGCTGTAGACTTTGAATATTGTATCAATTGTATGCAACTTTATGCTGTCAGTGTTTGACAGGAGTCACTGTCACTGCCATATTAATTTCTATTGTTTTTGTTAACATTATGTATACAATTTATGTTGATTAAAACCTTACATCCTAGGTTCTGCTTTATCATTTTACCCTGATTTAGTATAAACCTGGAAAATATCCTGTTCCCACATTACTAAGTATTGTTAACTTTCTTCTTGCTTTATTTTTTAAATGTTTCTCGAAATATTAGGTGTTTTCAATCAACTATTTGTTTTATTCTATCGTGTAGGATACAACTTGTTTAGGTCTGTTCATATGATATTCAGCATCTTTGGGTATGATCGACAAAAGACTTTCAGACTTTCAGAAAGTGTTTGTGAGAAAATAAGACAAAAAAGTGGACATTTTACCGGTCATTCATGGTTTTCCCTATCATTAATAATTAATAACAAAGAACAATTCATTCATTCAAATACCAATTATATTGATTTTTTAGGCTAACAAAGTTAGCCGTTAGCAGAGGATTTTTTGACTCTACAAAAGATGTGCTTTTCTTACTTCATGTACATATTGTGGCATACTATAAATATGCCACAACCTTTTTTATAAATACTATACATAGAATAAATTCACAAATAATAAATTCAAACATTTTTATGACAATCTTAGCCAGCACAAACGCCTCTAGCATTCAAATAATTGTTTTTGTCAGTGTAGCTTTGTGAAATAACAGAATGATTTGAAGGACAAAACTTATTTTAGGACAAAATCGTATTTAGCTATTTCCTGTTTTAGCAATCTAAATCTTGCCACCATTTAAAAATCAAATAAAACTAATTTCCTATTATTGTACGTAAATTTCTTAAACCTTAAATACCTACTTTCACATAAATTTCACCAATTAGTAAACGCATCCAATTCAACTAATTTTCTATACAGTTGAACTACTTCCATATCAAAATATTTCCTTTTCTAATTTGAGGTCTACATATCCTTAAAAAAATAACTGTAAGAGTTTTTTTGGATTTGGGTTACTACAGCACGAACTATTTCTTTACAAGTACAAAAAATAAACCAATATGATTTCAAACAAAATTTTTCAGTTTAGGTTACGTCAAATCTGCATCTTACAGGAGAATTTTCAAATTGCATCCTGAGGAAACTATACAATAAATTTAAATTATTATTCTGTTTGAATAATCATAAGGTATGAATTCTATCCTATGTTTTATACATCGAGCAAAAAGACAAAAGATGGAATCTAATCATTATGAAAAGGAGACCAAAAAAGTGGCCTCTGATGGCGGACATATCCGGAAATGCGAATGCGCCAAATTTAAATTTTTCGACACTTATTAACAGTAGCTATAAAATAGTTTTCAGAATGTGTCTTAGACGAGAAACTAAATAAATATAAACGACAAAAGTCTAAAATGCGACATATTTGTTAATAAACTTCATTATAAATAAGATTTTATGTGACAGTTGGGACAAAAAATCACATAAGCCAACTAAATTTGATTTCTTAAACAAGAAAAGACTCTCTTTCCTTGTTTAATGTCCTCTCAAGATGGCACTTCCTGTCTAGCAATATTTTTGCCCCCATTACCTTTACATTTCCTCTTTTGTCCTTTTGCTCGATGGTTTTAGAGACAGATTCAAGAGTTGCCGAACTGTAAATATTGCGCCCTGAATATAGGCAACAAGTATTACAGCAGCTGATTCGAGCAATCGAAAAGGAGAGACGTGAGATGTATAGCGTGGTATAGAAGACGAAAGGGCAGTTTTTTTCTGTAAACTACCATAGTAATGTTAACATTTTAATAAACATACATATACCGGGTGGTGAATCGCCAAACGGACCATGAGAAATTCTAAATTGGTGAATTGCTGCTTCCCTAATTATTTTACATCAAAAATTATAAAAAACTATTTGTAGAGGACTAAAATCTGTAACTAATGTTAAAATTGTTCTACGAATTAGGCATATGTTTGACTCGAAGTATAGGAATAATTGGGGGGAAGATCAATAACTTCAAATATCTCCAAAAAAAATATAGTTATTTACATAGTACGTTTCTAATATCAGTTATTTTAACGACTCCCAGCGAACATCTCGTACTGTAGCACCCCTTTTAACATGAAAATCCAAAAAAGCAACCTTACATTTCCGAACAAAATTTTCCAAAAAACATCTACAGCATAAGCACAACTTCACTGTTCACTCATTCCAAAGTTTATACAAAAAGGCAGCACTATGCGGTTGTTTTGTTAATAATAATAAAACATCACGTCACGTTGGTAACGCTTGAAAATTTTACAAAGCTCTTTACACCAAAAGGCAAATCTTGAAGTAATTAGCACAAATTTCATAATTTTTTTCGTATTTGAGTGTAAGATTCATCAATGTTTTTCAAAATTACGCGGATATTTTTTATTTGAAGCAAACTGAGAGAGTAGACTCATATTTAACAACGTTTCCAAGTTGTGGATTGTTTTGTATAAAAAATTAAGTTTTCCTTCATTTACATGTAGATTGTTAGATTAGAAGTAAAATGGTTAAACCTTATTTCATGCAGATTTGAATTTGATAACACCCTAGAGGTGCAATATGAATCATTTAAAAATATTTTGTAGTGATACTTTATAATCGAACAATATTCTGGCCTATTCATTTAGTATCTCTTCGATTCTCGGTTGAAAGGAAGATTATTTTGGCTGCAAATTAAATCTAGAGCACAGTTTAATGCTAAAAGAATTGTTTTATCGCTCTATACGCCATATAGTCCCACATTAGCAATAATGTACATATTGTTAGGTTACCAACCTCAGCCAATCATTCATATTATCCAGTGTTGTTATTAGGCAACTTATATTACATGTTTTAATTTTGCGAATATATGACATGTTGACAAGGGTGAATGATCCATAATAATTTTACTTGAATTTTATCATTTTTTGGACACAAATCACAATAACTGTAACTAAAATCGCGTATTTTAAAGTGTGGATATCGTTATCAAAAACCAAGGTAAGCTGAATACAGTATTGCCAAATTATTAATAAGTCCTATTTAGATGACCACACATTTTTAAGATAAAACTTTATTACTCCTAATAAAATTTCGAACTATCGTTTTGTTTTCGATGTAGATATTGGATGGCGAGAAATATGTTCTTTACCTTTTTATGTCATTGATATAACTGTATTTATTGGTGTCGATTATTTAATTTCTCGTCTTCGCTCTATAATTATAGTGTTCCAATTGACGTTTCGTTTCCCACTAATACTATCAATACCACTAGAATTTTTTGTTAAGGTCTACTTAAACCTCTCAAAGTACTCTAAAATAATTGAGAATAATACCATTTCTTAACTTAATCAGGCAACACTACAATCAGGAAGCAGCTGCCTACATTTAAAGCGTAATTCACCTACTGATAATGCAATTACAGCACCCATTTTAGGCTAATACATAGTATTCTTTTCGTCTTTTTTAATTTATTGATAAACTGTGCTCATATTGATTGAAATTTAGAAAACACTGCAACCACGCAATGTAAGTTGCCTGCATTTAAGGCGTAAATCAACTTTTGTTTCTAGACGGACATTGATGATGCCCTCTTTAAAACAAATTAGATCTTTTTTCTGGTAAGGCATTTTCCAATACCTTACCAATGTGTTCTATAAAACGAACTACAGAAACTCATACCTGGAAGAGAGGAGGTACTTTTGATTGATTTATTTTAGGAGTATTTAATATTTCGTCTTAACACGTTCACTGCCGATATTGTAGAGGTTCTTATCTTGAGTCGCACCACTGTTTGAACGTTCTACCAACTTCACAGCTGTTAATATAGAATCATTAGAAACGCATTGTCTTTATTTTAAATATTTATAGATGTTTTTTCTTCACAATCACTTATTATACATGTACTATCCGAACGACTACAGTGTCTTGAGCGAGTACCTAGAAAAATCCTGTGTCCGGTGAGATTTCTTTTCTCATTTCGCCATCGAGTGAATTTTTTGTTCCAAAAGTGCATAATTACTAAAAGATTTGGATATCCACATTCTGCTAAAGCTAGCTGGTCAATTTTGAATATAATAATATATTTTTTCTTATCTAAAATCCTTGATAAACAACTCTTACATTCAAAACATCCAGAAATAATAAGAAAAAAAAACAAAAATAAATGAAAATAACATTTTACTAAGTCAGTACAATATATAAAATACGGTTAAGCAAAGAAAAATATACGTAGACAAAACAATAATAACACAAACTGAATATCAGTACGAAGCCACATTTCTGACAATATGTGAGAATTAGGCGGTAAGAGTTTTGCCCCTGCGGTGATATACACGCGTCGAATAAGAAAATACCAATTTAGGAGTGTTGGAAACATGACACATGGCACATAAAATACGAAAGCTATTAACCACTTTCAGCTTAAGCTGTGAAACTTTCCTCACAAAGCAAAGCTTCATCTGAGGCAAAGCAAAAGTATGATAAATTACTTAACAATTACAGAAACTACTTTAGTTCAAGCTTATTTCAGCTCTAAACAACGACTTTAACAAATATATCTAAAGTAGTACGTAAGATAATAAAATCATGTGTCCAACAGATATACTTAACCAAATATCAAAGCAAAACGATGTTTTTACAGATTTCGAAGCGTGTATATTAGCGCAGGCGCACAGTCCACCTTCAATACTAAAAGTACGTATTATTAAACGATATAAGAAATAAATGAGCTTCGATCGAAGTAAGATTTATAATGATAGATAATTGTAACCATGTGATGGTTCCTTCTTTTAACCAGAAGAGGGGATCAGCTTGCCTTCGGCGACCAATTGGGCCTTGTTCTGGCGAACGAGCTCAGCTCGCTTCTCCTGAAAAAGAAATTTCTTACGGTTATAGGTGCATCATGACAAATCAGCAACATGCATATTATTAAGATATCACCAAATACTTGTGAATTGATATTATAAACATATTCGAGATGTGAATCATTTGTCTTGTATTGAGTGATTTTAACTAAAGACAGTAGATCAATCTTCAAAACGCGCTCTATAATCCTGTAGAGTAGTCGGGATTTCGAAAAGTATTTACTGTTACTGTGATCCAGTGAAAACTTGGATAATTCTTATAGACCTGGATAACACAAGAATTGAACCTAGGTAATCAGAGTCTTCCTAGCACATACATAAAAAATGCTAGTAGACAAGTCACAACAAATGCATACAAAATACGCGTCTTTCGAGGAATACGCTACGTTATGGGGAATCCTCGATCTAGCTTTGATTTTCAAGAAGAGTAGGATCCTCTGGTGATTCCTCGGTGTCTATTATCGTTGCTGGTGCATGTTAATTTAGATAAACTAATACCAGAGAGAATTTTCAGTGTGTGGGAAAGAATATATATATATATATATATATATATATATATATATATATATATATATATATATATATATATATATATATATATATATCCGGTTTTTTTAGGCGTTACGCCCGTCCGGTAGGGATCTATGGAGGAGTATCACCGAGCCGCAAGCCCTTATCTCTTGCCGTACTGCTCCACCATAGGCCGATCAGATCCCAGCACATCCTAGTCTAAGCCGCAGATTCATCTAGAATTTTAAACTGCTGCGTTAGACTTTTTGTTTTCTGTACACCGAGCTGGGGCTCGATCCCACATCCACTGAACCATTCGACAGTGAAGCGAATGAGAGGCAGCCGCACAGCCCGCTGAGCTATCTAACCGACAGGAAAGAATAATACTAGTTGTATATCTTGGGAACACATCAGTTACGCTGTGGAACATGACGTTAGTAGTAAGTTATCTTTTGATATAAAACGTAATTTTAGACGTGAATCGTTTTGAAGTAAAGGATAAAATTTTACGCCAGAAGTGAACGTGGATCTATGTTTTCTAAATTTTTTCGGGACAAATATTAATTTCCATGTTACGTTTCACGTCATATTCCACGTCAAGTGTTACGTAAAAGTTATAGTATAATGTCACGTTTCAAAAACATGTTGACATAAATGACATCATGCTCTACGACAAATGTCAGAGTCGTGTGAGCTTACTTCATATTGATCAAATTGGGTACAAATTTCAAACTGAACTGTTCTCAAATGATATTCAATATATACAAACCTTATAGTAAAAGTACAAGGTACTCATAAGTAACTGATCAATTGTTAAATACAATCACGAGACTGAAAACTTCTTGTCTAATTGATGAGTTGTTAATTGCAGAGCAATTGCACAAGTAGAAGCTGACAACAAATAGACTAACCTATAATATTAGTCTGGAAAAAGCCGTATCAAATCTATATCTAAAAGACAAAGTATTTTGTCTATAAATAATTTCATTTGATTGTAAAACATCACTAAGTTGTAAATACGACAAAAATATGGATGTAAGTAGTAAGGGCAACGACCACGTATGTAAAATGCAATCAGATAAAAAATGTGAACCAGTATATCTAAAATAACTTTACATATGCATCTAAATTAGGTAATATACTTATTCTTAAATAGTTTAAACCATGTTTTTTCGATAAGGTAGAATTAAAAAGAAACAAACTATGCATAAAATATAGTACAGAGTTGCTTCTTATCTATATTTGCGAAATACCTTACATTAACTAAAATCTGTAATGTAATGTCTTAATAAAAAAATATTACATATATGTGAATATACAGATACAATAATAATCGGCTACTTTTCAACAAATTTGTAATCGCATTACTTCTTCTTTTTAGAAGTCGAGGGAAAGAGAGGTAAAGGAAAATCGAGAGGTGAAGAGACTGTATGGTAGAGAACTTGGGAGAGAAAGGTTTAAATGTAGAAGACACTGTGGACAGGAATCTAAGCACCAAAGAAAACAACTTTTTTCGTCGAATAACATGTTATTTTCGACGATATTTTAAATAAGCAATACTCTTATTGAAAAATAAACGGATAACTACTTTGTTTCATGCGAATTACCCACGAAAGATTATAAGTAAAGATACGGCATTTTTTCGCCAATTAAGTACAGAAACAGCGATTTTTTGCGGTCTATAAATAAAGAAATGGCGATTTCCCGCCTATTAACTAAATAAACAACGATTTCTTGACGACCACGTAAAGAAACAGCAATTTCTTGCCGATTATAAGTAAATAAATAGCGATTTCTCGCCGATTACGTTAAGAAATGGAGATTTCTCGCCGATTACGTTAAGAAACTGCGATTTTTTGACGACTAAGCAAAGAAACGGCGATTTATTTTATTTTATTCCTCGTCGCATCAGTAAAGAAAGAGCTAAAGGGCATGAAAGTAAGCCAATTAGACGATTGAGCCTGCAGTTACCTTCAAGTAACCTTATAGTAAAAGAAGCTACAAATCCAGGGGGTGAAGCTATTCCTGATCCTAAGCAAAATCATCCTGCCAATCCTATACACTCAATGGGGTAGAGAATTTGTCTTGTCCTTCACAGAGCGTCTAGACATCAGGCAGCAGTCTTGATAAATTTAAATATTTTGTTTACGTTGTTGTTGACACGTAGTAGTGATCGTGCCGTGAATAGTGAACAGTGTAGTAGTGTCTGGGGGCTCGGGAGACTGAGACCTCGGAAGCCCTGAGGAAGGCATCAGAGAGGATGCCGAAAGCTTGGCAAAATGGATGACGACGCGGTTCAACCCGGAAGACTGGTGAGTTTAATATTAATTTTAGTAATAATATTAATCTTAGCTCTAGGTTTTATATATATATATATATATATATATATATATATATATATATATATATATATATATATATATATATTGTGAGTATAATGGTAAATCCTGGTTTAAGCGATGAAATATGATCCGGTGGATGACTTTTCGATCATATTCGGAGCAATAGTTGTTTTTGACCATCCATTACGGAATTGAGCACCGCACTCTTACTTCTATTTGTCACTGTTTAATAATCACACCTATATTTATTTTTATTTACTCTCAAAAAACTGCAAAAAAGACACTTGCATTTGTCCTTGCTAAAAAACAACTCTGTACTACAAAAGTACTAAAAAGGTTTCTAAATAATGTTGCAAAAATGTTCACCTTTGTCTACATCGCTGCAACTTGTTTGTAAAATGTATAAATAAATTGCAAAAAGTTTTCAAATTGACTGTTTAATGATATTTTATAAAACTGTTTCACTTAATCAATAAAAATAAAGAATATTTATGAAAATTTTAGGTATTATAGCATCTTTAATTAAGGCTTATTATTTTTAAATTTAAGTCAAACAAAGTGTGTGTGAGATATCGAAATTTTCCTTGACTCTGGCTCTGAGGGTTATGCTGGTTTTGAAAACCGCTCTGATTTGTGGTTATTGGGATTCTCCTGCACTCTCACGAAAAGTGACGATGTTTACGGCAGATCTTCAGTTTCCTCGACGTATGGGTGTTAGTTGATTGTTTACTGAACGAGTCCACACAAACTTATCCACCACAGCGAATAATGAAGTTGGGGGTGTCCAAAAATAGTTTAGTTGTAATGAGTCAGATGTCTCTGGAGGTTTGTAACAATCTTTTCAATATTCTTCAGCTACAAAAGTTGTACAAACAACTCTTTCGGAGATTATTTACAAAACTAATTCAAAATACGTAGTAAGGAAAATGTTGATAAAATTACGTGCCAAGGAGAAATAATGACAACACAATAAAACTATACTAAGATAAGTCAAAGGGCAGACATAAAAAATCATTGTACCATCACCACACAACTAAAATTCAAAAGAATACCAAACCTACTAAAAACATTGACGAATGAATATTTACTATATTGAATGGAAACTATTATCAATTTTCATTAAAATTTAGTCGATTTGTTGCATTGGCTCCATAGATTTCCTGTTCTTTCACCGATTGAACACATCTGGGACATTATGAGAAAATGATTACTCTTTTTACCTCATCCCACAGACTCTAGCTGCCCTTCAGTACGAAGTACAAGTAGCCTGAGATAAGATAACTGAAGGGGAAAGCGGAGTATGCCTAGACGTATTTATGAGTGCAGAGGGTAACACATCATAAATTTTTTACACTTTTATTTTCAACGGTTGGATTTTTCTGACATTTTGATTAATTACTTAAACTAAAGAGAAATGTATACAAAAAATTATTGTTGCTCAGTATCGACCAAAAAGGACACGATTTGGCAATGATAAAACGTAATACGAAGGATTTTTTTATTGTTGCCACGTCATTTTTAACGAAACATGAGAACATTGTTATACGCCAGAGATAAAGCAATATACAAAGCAGAGGAAAAACTGAATCAACGCCAACTGAACTATGGACTGAAAATGTGCAAGATGTACATAGTAGGACAGAAAAAAATGAAAAACTCACTGTTTTGGCTATCACAAAACTACGTTTCGTCAAATGGACTATCGCACCCACTATATTCACCAAATTTAGCCCTGTGTGACTACTTTTTGTTCCCAAACTTTGGTCTAAGGGGCCGCTTAAAAAAATATATACGCTAATAACCGATATTTCACACTATTTTACAGAGCTCGAATAAAAATACTTTTTGAAAGCAATTATGCTGAAAAATAGATTAAAAAATAATAAAAATCGTCAGTTTTAAGGTTCAATTCTGAAAACTTCATGCAATTTATTGATAAAATGATCGATTTCAAGCATATTATACTTACATAACTCTTGAGTTTCTCTTTCTGCTCTTGTTCGAGCTGTTCTTTTCGTGATTGAGCCTGCTCTAGCTTTTCTTGGATCGCAAGGTCCAACTGTTGCAATTTTACGGTATTTTGTTCTCTCACCTTAGCTACTTGTTCTTCCTGCATAATGAAGCACATAAACATGCAAGCGATGATGAAATTTGTGATAAAACTAACGATACTGTGAGTTCGTTTATATAAAAAAAGAAGTAGGAAAAATGTAAAGTGTACGATTTTGGGAATGATAAGTTGCTTGAACTTTGTGCATAAAAATTCTTTCGATTTTAATTCTAGCTCTAACAATTTTTATCAAATACAAAAAAATTGACAAAAAATTCTACCGGCAAGTTTCTTATTTATTGATCAAGTTCAGAAATCGACGTTAGACATCGGTAGCGACTGCAAACTTTCTAGATTTATGTTCAAAGTTCTAAGCCGGGGGGTGAAAACTCTGTATGTGAGTTTCGTGATGCTGAAGTAACAATGAAATAGAAACAGTGCATAACGCAAACGTGGGTAACTATCAGAAAGTTGCACAAATAATTTTATTTTCTAAAATAAAGATTAATTCACTTTTCATATGGATCATTTTATTTTTAAAATATACATTTGAAATGTACACATATTAAACCACTAGCTATCCGGTTTTAAAACCGCGTCAGGTTTAGAACCGGTTTGCCAGTCGGCCCGATTCAAAGCAAGTGCTGATAAATTTAACATCTATGTATTACCTACCACAGTTCGCTGAGTCAAAATATTGTCAGGTATTGAGAAGGTACGCCGACGAAAAATGTTACTCCTATCCGGCAACCCAGCCATGGTGCTGGTCTCCGATCCCGTTAACAAGATCCCGTTGTGTTTAAAAAAGCATTGACAACCGATCACATTAACGACTAAAAACGATTTGCTGATGTCGGGTGTAACAACGGTGAGATGACGAGAAATGTTGCTGCTATCTCGCAACAAGCGTGTAACCCTACTAACATGATCCTCTTGTGTCTCAACAAGTACTGTCAACTGATCATAGTGTAACAAACAAGCTTATTTTGACGTGCCCTATGTAACGGTTGCTTCTGAAGATGATGATGTGTGCTCCAGAATGGTCCTGATTTATCAAACGGCTGACACGATCAAGGGGCTCGTAAAAACCGAGAATAGAGGTGGACTAGATATTACCGACGTTTTGTCAAAGGGTTTGCCAACATCTCCAAGCCATTAACAAAGTTGACAGAAGAAGACAAAAAATATACATAGAGTGAAGAGTGTCAAAAAGCTTTCGAATAACTACAAATGGCTCTGATCAATGCACCAATTTTAAGCTACCCTAGACAGGAAAGACAGGAAAATTTGTGTTGAACACCGATGCCAGCAACAGTGCAATAGGAGCTGTTCTCTCCCAAATCCAAGATGGACAGGAAAAAGTCATCGATTACTTTAGCAAAGTCTTGTTGAAACCAGAAAGAAACTATTGCGCTATCAGGAGAGGATTGCTAGGCGTAGTGAAGGCAGAAAGTTCTTTCTTCGTACGGATCACGCCACTCTAAAATTGTTCATAAAATTCCGTAATCCAGAGGGCCCGATGTTAAGATGGTTAGAACAACTACAAGAATATGAGGACGTGATCGAACACAGGGCTAGAAGAGTTCACTTAAATGCTGATGCTCTTTTAAACAGTCGTGCAGTGCAAATTGTAATCACTGTCTTAAATTAGAGGAACGACTATATTAGACGAATCACCGCCATTAATGATCAATGACAGCCTTAAAAGCTACAAAACGCCCAAACAGGTGATCCATGTATAAAAAGAGTGTTGGATTGAATGTATCGAAGTAAGAGACCGACTTGGCAAGACATTACTGCATTTAGTCCAGAATTCAAGTCTTTTTCTCTCAAAAGATGATTTTCTGTATAGAACCTTTGAGAACGAAGACAGTACAGAATCTAAGCTTCAGTTGATTGTACCTAAAAGTAAAGTGGAAGAAGTAGTATTGCGTCAGTTGCATGACGGTGGATCAGGTGGACACTTTGGTATTACGAAGACTCTGCAAAAAGTTTGGGAATGGTTCTATTGGGTGAATTGTAAAGATAATGGAAGAAGATGGTGCCGGAAATGTGAACTGTGTGCAACAAGTAATGGCCCAGTTGGTAAAAAGATGGCACCCATGAAACATTACAATGTTGGTAGTCCTATAGAAAGAGTAGAAATCGACATTGCAGGTCCATTTCCAGAAACGAATGATGGAAATAAATATATCCTGGTAGACATAGATTATTGTACGAAATGGACTGAGGCCTATGCGATACCAAATCAAAAAGCTGCTACCTTTGCAGACGTACTTGTTAAAGAATTCTTTAGCCGATTTGGTGTTCCCTTGAAAATACACTCCGGCCACCAAGGGCGAAACTTTGTAGTCAACCCTCTTCCAAAACATTTGTAAATTGATTGGTGTCAATCAGATGGAATGGTCGAGAGGGTGAACCGAATGATGGGTAAACACCTGTCCAAAGTTGTATCAAACATCAAAGAAATTGGGACCAGCACATTAATTTATTCCTAATGGCCTACCGCTCGGCCGTGAATGAAACTACAGACCAGACTCCAACCTGCCTGATGTTGAGTCGTGAAGTTCGTTTAACCTGCGACCTAGAGTTTGGCTGCACAGCTTCCGAAGAATATGTTGCAAGTAAAGAATGAACAACATTCATGAACTTGCCCGACAACAGATCCAGTTAGCCAGTGACAGAATGAAAGATCAATATGATTCTCCATAGCCAAAATTAATGAATTTTTTGACAGAACTGACTTGAATTAATCTATATTTTAAAAATAAACTTTGATTTTTTATATTTTTCCTACCGTAGCCATCGATAGAATCAATTGTAAAAAGATTTTGAAATTTGGAAACCTAAAAGGATGGGAAAAGCCATTCAATCCGAATCACAAATGCATCTGATCCGTTTCACATCAATTTACCGAAATATAAGAATGCAATAATCATACGGACTATGAGTTTAGTATCTAGCTAAATATACATTTTAAATATTTGAAAAACTGTGACATGTCAAAGGAACTCCTGATATCCAGTAATTTATTAAAACAACAGCAAAATTACTGTTTTTAGGCACCATTCACAGTACAAATTGGCACTGAGCTTGTTTAAATTTCTGCCTGTGCATTCCTACTCACTTTTGCAGTGTAAATTCGCTTAGGAGCCTGTGCAAATTATTGCTCCACTCCCAACGCTGAGATATATTTTCTGGGATTCTATTGATCCGATATAAGTTCGATATAATCACCTGGTTTTCACGGTTACGCTCTCCGATGAGATTTTTTACATTTATTAAACCGAAAATTATTATTTACTCGATTATCGAACTTCTTTCTTTAGTATAAATTTTTTTGACTAAGCATTTCGTAAAGGTTCCTCAGTATTAATGATTTCTTCTATCTTTAACATCTTCTCTGCTACGAACGTCTTCGTTATTCCGGTTTCTGTATGTTGCAAAGTTATTTTTTCGGTTGTGTCCCCTCCACGATATCTACTTTGACGTCACTAAGCCAGTGACGTCATCAAAGCTGTTGTCTGTCATCGATTACATGTCACATATCAAACGCCAAATGTCAAAATGTAATTCGTCAAAAATATACAGGATCAACTGGGAAAAATACAAGGTGAAATCGAAAAACTTATCAACTGCATTTTCGTTATGTACCAAATCATCTAACGTCCCTGCTAAACATTGGTGTCCCCTTTTTTAGACACTGTTTGATTGTGCACATCGTTTTTAGTCCACAAATTCGTAAGAATTGATCAATTGGTAAACCAAGAATCTACTGTTGTGTACGTCGTAAAAGTCTTATTAATTAACAAAATTTAATATATAAAAAACACATTATGAAAACGGATCAGATGCATATTTTTCGTATGTAAAACTACGGGAATATGTAATCTTTTTGCAAGAGAAACTAAGACAAAAATCTCGAAAACAAAACCGACTACTTACGTGCTCTTTTAGACGTTCCAACATCTTTTTGATATTATCATCGCGTTGCTGAGAAGCTGTCTTCAGTTTATCTTCAATAGCTGATCTGACTTCTTCTGTTTGAACTTCCAGAGATAAACGAGTCTTTTCGACATTTTCGATATGATCCTATATAAAAATTTACAGAATTAGAAATTAAGTTATATTTAGTTATAAGATAGTTAGAAAAAATATGGGTCGGAATATTAGGATGCTATTGAACTAACTCTATTTCGGCTTATCTAGGTATATTATTTCTCTGAGTAAGTCCTGGATTTAATTATAAACCACTTTTAGGCACAATTTGCCAACAAAGATGCTCCGAGGGACATATTTCCTGATTTCATTAGATCTCTAACCATTCGCTAAATTTTTGGGAGAATGATTTGTCTGTGTATGTACAGAAATACATCATCAGTTAGCGCTACAGCATTTCGTGAGCCCTGGCCTGCATCAAAACATTCTTCCATCCTTTCCTGTTGAGTCTTCTCCATCCATTTACTTCATTCTCTCATAAATCGAGCTGCACATCGTCCAGATAACTGAGTTTAGGTCGCCTCCTTCTTCTTCTTCTTCTTCCGACCGGCCTATTTAGTATGGTTATTTTAGAAAAATCACTTTCTACCATCCGCCTAACGTGGCCCACCTCTCTTGGCGGATTATTTTTATGGTTTTAGCTACAAAAATCATCATCATCATCATCAATCAATCCCGAGTTGTCCACTGTTGAACATAGGCCTCCTCTAGAATTTTCCATCTGCTTCTGTTCTGCTCCTTTACTATCCAATTGGTCACGATTCTTTTGAGGTCGTCGGTCCATCGCGTTGGGGGTCTTCCTCGGCTTCGCTTGTCAGCCCGTGGTCTCCACTCAAACAATTTTTTTGTCCAACTGTCGTCTTTCATTCTTGCAACATGTCTTGCCCATCTCCATTTTTGCCTTGTAATATGTTTGATAATGTCTTCCACTCCGGTTCGTCTACGAACTTCCTCGTTTCTTATTCTATACAAAAATTGTGACCCCTTTCTTTTAAGGTTTTCTAAATCACAGGTCTAATGCAAATAAGCCACAAACAGCGCATGAACACAGGGAATATTGACCTATCTACCAAAATAGAGTCATCAAACCAATAATGACATACGCGGCAGAAACGCGATCTGACACAGAGAGGACAAAAAAAACACAAAGATGGAAAAATTGATAGTAAAACACTATGGGACAGAGGCAGACGTACAAATATATGACGTAGACGCAAAGTGGAGAACATCAAGAACTGGGTAAGAAATAGAAGAGTAGAATGGAACGATCATATAAACCGAATGACAACAAATAAAGACGCAAGAGATGGTTCCTCAATAGGAAGATGATTAATAGGAAGACCACGAAAACGACGGAACGGCATCTTACTGGAGGCTCATTGAAAAAAAGATCTACCAAACAGATATAATTTTGAAGTAATATAAAGAGATTGGCCGCTGAGTGAGGATTTACAAACGAAGTATTGTTTTTGTCAGTAGCAATTGCGTCATCCCCAATCTCAAAGGGGCTGTTACAAGTATAACAAGCAAAAAAGACATCAGAATAGGCACATCGAACGTGAAAACCATGGAACAGGAAGGTAACATCCATAATGCAATGTAAGAAATGGCACAAACGAAATTATATATTCTGGAAATAAGCGAAAGGCGTTAGCTAGGTGCAGGACCCACAAATATGGGGGAAAACCGCGTTTACTATTCTAGAACAGATAACGGCAAACATTAATTAGATGTTGATTTTATCTTGACAAAACAAGTGGCAAAATCTGTTGACAACTTCATCCCAATCTAAGCAAGAGTGATACTCATACAACTCAAAGCAAGAAAAATCGACATTAATATAATTCAAGTGTATGCACATCCAACAAAAGGACAGAAGAAGAGGTAGAAGAACTATACCGTAGCATTAATTAAGTCGTGAAAAGTTTGAAAAAGCAAGACCTAACAATTGTCATAGGTGACTTCAACGCCAAAGTTGGAGCCAGCAAAGTATCATCTGCAGTTGGACCATTTGGACTAGGAAATCGGAACGGTCGGGAAGATAAATTGGAGATTTTTGTTGATATTAATATTTGCAGATATTTTTTGTGGATTTTGTGGATCAATTAGTAATAATGAACACCTGGTTTACGCTACATCCAAGAAAATTTTACACCTGGAAATCTCCACAGGATTCTATGGGAAGGATTGTAAGAAATCAGATTGATTACATGCTAGTAAATAAGATGTATTGGAACAGCTATTCATCTGTCAAACATACCCAGGGGCAGACATAAATTCTGATCATGTACCAGTCGTAGGTAATTTCAAAGTCAGAATGAAGAAGGTTATAAGTCGATGAAGTAGTATGATCAGTTCAGTTAGAAAACTGAAAGATCCCGATGTTCGACTGAAAGTGAGTGAAAATCTCAATACAAAGGTTCGAAACCGCAGAAATGCAGGAACTATAAAGGAAAGTCTGACCATCACATCAGATCAGGTCAAAATCTTAAGGGGAGTGAGATAGGGGTGTATAATTTCACCACTGATATTAAATCTGTACTCGGAGTACATGTTTAGGAGGCTCTAAAAGATATTGATGAAGGCATCTCAATAAATGGAGTCAAGCTCAATAACTTGCGGTATGCAGATGATATAATAGTGTTATAAATATATCGATTGGATATAAACACTAGCAAAACCAAACTAATGAACATCAGCAAGTAAAACATAACTGGAACAAATCTGTATGTGACCCAAATGAGAATTGAACGTGTCTCACAGTACAACTACTTGGAAACTATAATCAATGAGTCATGGTACAATACACATGTCGCACCGGAGAGGCAAAAAGTGCATTCTTGACTATGAGCTCTGTGTTCAAGAGCCATGATGACCCCGCTCTAGAAACAAAAATAAAGCTCCTTAAATGTTACGTGTACTCAGTGCTTGTGTACGCAGTAGAAACGTGGACATTGAAGGCGGAAACTCTATCAAAACTTCAGGCTTTTGAGCTATGGTTATACAGAAGGATTCTGAAGATACCATGGACAGACAAAGTCACCAAAGAAGAAGTACTGCGGAGGATGAACACAACTGCGGATTTGGTCAACATCGTGAAGGGCCGTAAGCTCAGTACTTGGGAATTATAATAAGAAATCAAGGCAGATGAGCTACTGCAATGCATTTTGCAAGTTAAAATTGAAGGAAAAAGGACCCCAGTATAACAAAGAATATCCTGGTTTGCTAACCTGAGAACATAGTATAGAAAGACCACTGCTATCCCGTATAGCAACCAACAAAGTCATCATAGCCAAAATGATCGCCAACGTTCGGAACGGACAGACACCCTAAGAAGAAGAAGCCCTTGTGTTAGGGGCAAAATTTGATAAATTATACTTGCGAGGCAGATGAATTTAGATCATTGAATAATTAGGTCGATATCCGTGCTTTGTGTCGTGCTATAGTTTGTTCGTGTCAAATTCTAATAGTGCATCAGTACACATGCTGTTAAGTCGTTGATTAATTATTGATTTGGATTATTTAAGGAATCAATTAAAACACATTCCAACCATCCATACAATGTGTACGGATTATTGAATTCGTTTGTATTACTTTAGAATTAAGGCGAGTTTTAATGCTTCTTGTATTATTTAAATATATTAGCATCCATTGAAGGATATTATTTTACTTAATTGTTTGAGATGTGAAGAATTAAGTCAATATTAAGATATCTTTCTGTGCGTTTTATTCCAATTAACATGGTGTGTGTCTCTTCCAAGCAAGACAAATGCGAGTTCCATGTCCATACATGCAATAAGTCCTTTGTAATCCTTTATATTTCAGCTGATATGAATAATCTCATAGACCAATCAATATCTTAGTAGTTATCTGATCTAATAATACATTTTGTATTATTAATTGGAGTCTTGATAGAGTATTATTATTATTATTAATTATATTTTTCAGAATGTACCGGGTGGTCCAATAAGCCGATCTCTCGGCTATATATCAGAAACTATTCATGTTATAACTTTAGGAGAAAAAATTCCTTAGTAAAAGTGGCCAGGAGAAATCGCTGGAAATAACTTTCAAGATTCTGGATTAACCGCTAGGGGGCGTAACCTGCGAAGAAAATTTTGAAAACCAGTTTTTTGATAAATATGTCCAATTGTACCAAGTGTTAAATAAGTAAACTAGAAAGAGGCATAAATTCTGCACAAAGTTGTTCAAGTACTTTTTTTTTATTTTTTCAAATAAAGGGTGGGGGAGAGTGGGAAAGTATTTGTGGATAAATACCTATAACTTTGGTTTGAATCAACCGATTTTAACAAAATTAGTGTCATTAGAAAGAGTATGGATGAATTAATTTACATCTACTATAAAATAATTGCATTCAGTTTTAATTGTCGTAGGTAGAGGGTACTTTCGAATAGAAAATATTAAAATTTGTTTTTATTCAAAATTTTTAATGGAAACACCTATTTAATGTAAAGTATAATGAAACTGGATTAAATTCGTAACAAAATGAAGGAAACCGCATGTTAATAGCTTTTATCGAACTCGAGATATGAATAAAAACGCATAAACATAAGTAAGTATAGTATTGACACACCCTGTATTATAAAATAAATTAAAAAATTAATTAAAGTCAGTAGGTACTTTCAATGTAGAATAGAAATCGCTAGATCAGTCTTTAATAAAATGCGCAAACTCTTTTGCAATCGTGATATCAATATAAAGTTACGAATACGAATGCTGCGGTGTTATGTCTTTTCTACCCTGTTATATGGAGTTGACGCTTGGACACTAAAACAGTTGACAATAAAAAACATCGAAGCTTTCGAGATGTGGTGCTATAGGCGCATTCTCAGAATATCATGGATGGACCGCGTCACTAACACGCAAGTGCTCCAGACTTTGGACAAAAGATGCGAAATTCTAAATGAGATAAAAACTAGAAAGATGGAATACTTGGGGCACATTGTGAGAGGTGAAAAGTACGAACTTTTAAGAAACATCATGCAGGGCAAAATTAAGGGCAAAAGAAGTGTGGGAAGAAGAAAAATATCGTGGCTTCGTAATCTACGTGAATGGTTCGGATGTAGTTCGAT